GCTCTGGATCCACTGCCGCCCTGACTAGGATAAAGCAACTACTGAAGGAGAATGAATGAACACAGCATGATAATTAACGCATGCAGTGTGTGAACCATTTTACATAAGTTCAACCCATGTCTTTCAAGCATTCTGACAAGCAGCGTAAAAAGTGCAGAAAAGCATGACGCTAATTTTCCATAAATGTCATGCTTTTCCACACTTTTTACACTGCAACTTTTCTGCACTGTGACTTTCCCCACAGTTTTTGTGTACTTTTTACACTGATAACTAAAAGAAGCAATGTTTTATGGATTGAAAGAAAACTCTGAGGCAAAAGGACATCAATTACCTCATCCATCTGATACCACTCTACCATCTTCCACTGAAACATGATACTAGACCAAGATGGCAGCACGTGTACAACACGACACTCTGTGTCAAATTCAAATTTTATTGGTTACATACACAACCTTACACAGTACAACGTGCAGTGAAATGCTTTTTTCAACTAACCATGACATTAAGATGATACAGTGTCTACCACCATTACTATTCCTGCTTTTTCAGAGACTGTAATTACAGCCAAACTTGCATCACCTCACAAGGGTTTTCAGCTGAATGGTTACACAGATATGTTTGAGCCCCATTATTATGAGGACTCAACAGTAGGATTTGCATGCACTCTTACTAAAGCAGATAAGGGTTCATATTTTCTGAAAGTTGTCAATCCTTCTTCTGATGACATTTCTCTGCACAGTGGCACTCAGATTGATTCTTTTCATTCCATTTCTGTGAGAGAACAGGATGATTATTCACACATATGTCAATAGCTACAAAATGTTAACATTCAGGATGCTTGTGTGTCCAACTCAATGTCAATGCCCATATATCCTGTACTGCCAGATCTCTCTAATTGTCTCTAACTGACTGAGGTACAACAACAGAGTCTTAAAGATCTGCTAACTTCCTTCTCTGATGTTTTCAGTGAGCATATCCCTGACTATGGTAGGACAAGCGTGGTCACCCACAAAATCAGGACCAAAAATGGCACTCCAATTTCTCAGCAAGCATACAGGACCTCTCCTGCTCTCAAGTCAGAAATTCAGTCATGTAGAAAAACTTAAAGCACAAGATGTAGGGGATGATAGTGATAGCCCATTGTCAAGTCTGGTAGTCATGGTAAAGAAGAACGACTATACTTATAGATTCTGCATTGATCACCATAAATTAAACTCAGTCAACATTATTGCTGCACACCCATTACATCAGGTGGATGATAGTCTTGATGCTTTATCAGTGTCTCAGTATTTTTCTACCATGAACATGAGCCCCTTGAGCAAGGTCCTTAACCATCAACTGCTCAGTTCTATAAAAATGACATAAATGTAAGATGCTCTGGATAAGGGTGTCTGTCAAATGCAATAAATGTAAATGATAGCCTATGTCAATTTAAGGTTATGCCTATGGGTCTTAAGAATAGTCCACCCATGTTTCAAAGGCTTATGGAACTTGGCCTCAGAGGGCTGCACAGATATTTTGACCAGGTTCAGAGAAGATGGTCTCAAGCTTAACCCTAAAAAAATTTCACTTTTGAGAAGCATCAGTAAAGTACATGGCCCACATTGTCTCAAAGGAGGGTCTGGCCCTTGAGCCAGCTCATAGTCAGCTAGTAACAGATTGCCTAACACCTAGGTCTCCCACTGAGGTATGAGCATTTCTTGGGTTATGTAGTCATTATAGGTGATTTGTTCCATACTATGCCTTTAAAACTCAACCCTTACACAAACATACTCATAAGGATGTCCTTATGGACAGATGATTGCTCAGCAGCATTTCAGCAGCTGAAAGATGCCCTGACATCATCTCCTGTCATGGCATTTCCTAACTTTGACTAACCATTCACATTGAGTACAGATGCATCTAACACTGCAATTGGTGCTGTTTTATTAAACTTAAAATGGCAAAAGGTGTGTTGTTGAAAATGTTAGCCATGTACTATCTCCTACTGATCGAAAATGGTCTACATGTACTCATTCTACCGTGGCACCATTGAAAGTATCCTGACCAGCTGCATCACTGTGTGGTTTGGGAACAGCACTGCTCAAAACCAGAAGACACTGCAACGCATAATGAACGCAGCAGGAAAAATCATCAGTGCCACATTACCTTCCCTCACAGACATTTACAACACCCAGTTAACCCGGAAAGCACTCAGCATAGCG